GTGTGTGTGTGTGTGTGTGTGTGTGTGTGTGTGTGTGTGTGTGTGTGTGTGTGATGCAGGTTTTGCATTTACAAGAAGGCATGAAACCTCAGATCAGAGTGCTGGTATACACTTCAGTCACCAAAGAGTTAACCTTTAGTTATGACTTGTAGTTTTAATATAGACGATGGACCGTGTAAAAAAGTGATAATTTTGTTAGAAGAATAAAAAGATAGTAAAAGATCATTTCAAGCTATGAAAAGCCCTCTCAATAGAATCAGCCTGGTATCAAGGAACAATCATATCGTTAACGGTCTTTTCATTTGTATTTGTGTGTGTGAGGGTGGGGGGGTTGCTGATGAGAACATTTAGCTGAAATGAGCAATCTTGAGATCACGGTTAATTCAACAAACTTAATCAGCATTCAGTTCAAAGAGAGCTGACATAAATGTGTGAAATTTCTTATATCAAGGACGACTTTAAGCATAAAGGAGATTTCATGTTTCAAATGTTTTACGAGCTGCTCTCTGATACTTGTGCAGGAACTCTTCAAGCTGATCCACATCTGTGTCCTTAAGAAAAATTAAGAGTTTTTTATTTCCTCAGACTTTTGCAGCATTTTTAATTATTATTTTCAAGGGTAACCGTAGATTGGAGGCGTGCAACACTTTTAGATTTCATTGTCTTGAGTAATTTGAGTCTCTCGGGTTTCTCGATGTGACATCAACTCCAGCCAGACACACAGAAATTGTTAAGACATCAAAGTTAATGATTCCCTTTTCACCAAGGCACATCCAGCTACTTTAATGATGCAACAGCAGCTCTGCCCAGCTCACAGACACCATTAAACGCTGTTGTTGACACGCCAACTTACATGAACCCTCCTTTTTTAACATTGCCTTCTTATATTATCTAAATCCAGACACCAAACTGTAAGAATGTTTCCCAAAATGTGTTTACCTTTAGCCTTTTTGGGGGTTCAGCAGACATCTAACATATTACCCATCAGAGCATTGTCATGTATCAGCAGAGCATGAACATAGCTGCAGTTTAAATAGTTTAATGGCTGAATTTTTCCACAAAATCATCGCCACAGTTTTGAAAGCATGTCTGTATTGATTCTAAGTCATTAGCTGTGCTGGAAAGAATGTTTTGTACGCCGTCAACAAATAAACATGGAAACGCACAGTGTTAGAGAGAAAATATCAATCAAGAGGTTTTTTTGTTTATTTTTTGTTGTTTTCTTGATTTTTCTTTTTTTTTTACTTCCTGAACTGTGACGGTGTGAAAAATAATATATGGTGGAGTAAGAGATTTATATATACAGTTTATATATACACACACATGTAAGGGGCAGTCTTATATGTGCCCCTTATKAGAATAACTTCAGCTTTACAACAAACTTAACCTTGACCAGTTTCCAAATTGGTTAGGCTCCACTCCATCTTCAGCCAAGAACTCCATGTCCTCTTCAGCCGAGAACTCCGTGCCGTTTTCGGCTGAGACCTTCAGTCGTCTTCGGCTGAGACCTCCACGTCCTTTTCGGCTGAGACCTTCACGCCCTTTTCGGCTGAGACCTTCGCGCCCTTTTCGGCTGAGACCTCCACGTCCTTTTTGGCTGAGACCTTCAGTCGTCTTCGGCTGAGACCTCCATGTCCTTTTCGGCTGAGACCTTCANGTGTGTGTGTGTGTGTGTGTGTGTGTGTGTGTGTGTGTGTGTGTCAGTCAATGCATTGTCCATCAGGACTAAAGAAGTCCATTAAGGTTTTCTGAAAAATCTGTCCACAGCAGAAAATATTTCTATTAAAAAGCACAGGGGGGACAAATACACAACTACTTTTATACTATACTGTCCTTAAATCAACCATTGTAAAATTAATGAAAGTGCTTTAGATGGGGCGGGGGTCCACTGTCTCGTTTTAATTAGTGGTGAAACAGTGTCCCCTGCAGGACAATTGTTTTGTAAATGCTTAATTTTAAAACTGAAAGAATTTATTTGAAAAGAAAGCTCCATTTATTTTAGAACACCTCACACAATTAGTACAATCACACCAAATTAACAAACCAGTCCTGATCTTTTGTGAAATGAAAGACTTGGCTCATAGTTGTAGTAGTTTGAAAAAAGTCAGTGTTTTGAAAGTGACAATATATATCTGCTTCTAAACCATGTAGTGTTTTGAAAGAAAGTGTGACACTGATATAGTCGTGCAAATCTGGGCTGGTAGTTTTCTGCTTGAGTGTAAAGTTTTTTATTTTATTTTATGAAATATTTTAGTATAGCAATTATAAAAACAAAACAAAAAATGTTGTAGAATATTAAAAACTAAACATTACAAACAGTTTAACCTCTGCAAGACTGCAGCACTAAGTATGAATGAGTAAAAACTCAGTAAAAACCAATCTTCTTTTTGTTTTGGCTGTTCCCTCTTCATTGGTCTCCTTTAACACACTCTTTCCTCTGCATCCTCTGTCTCCACTCCATCCATCTCTATGTCCTCTCTAACTCCATCCATACATATTCATTTCTGGCACTTCCAGGTCTCCTATCTTTTTGTCAGTGCCACTGTCTACAAAACATAGCTGGTCACAAAACTCTCTTGTAAACCTTTTCTTTGACCTTTGCTGCCAACCTTTTGTCACAAATCAGTCCTGGAATTTTTCTCTTAGGACCTCTGCTTCTTGTAACATCACTATTCCACCTGCCTCCCTCTCATTCACACACAACTAACTTTCATTGTTCTGCTTCTCATTCTTGTCCACCTTAAAAGAAACAATACCACAAACATTTACGTAAACGTCTTTTAACTGGTCATTTCATCTGAATAATTACTTATTTTTATTATGTTGTAGTTTAGTTCAGTATCAATTTCTACTTTCATGTTATATTTTTTTGTTAATAATAAGCGTAGACATTCATCTATCTATCTATCTATCTATCTATCTATCTATCTATCTATCTATCTATCTATCTA